CAATGGAACATGGGAGCGTGTCTTGTCCTATAGTTTTCTGAACCAGGAGCAGTTATATATATTTACATGATGGATGAGTTTAAGGATGTTCCTTTATATGCTACACAAAAAACACCAAATATCTTCAAGGGGAAAGTCATAATGTAATGCATGTAACTGACCATTACTCGATCGTTTGAAAATTATACTTTCAACAAGAGGCAAGAGCAAAGGCAAAAAGCTTCAATACTTATTTGCTTTGCTAGCTATAAGGTGGTTTCCTTGTCTTTATGGGTTATTGAATGGTCTAAACTCTAAGGGGTCGTTTGGTTTGAAGACGGCTTATGCCGGGATAAGTTATGTTGGGATAAGTTATCCTGGTACTGTTTTTTTATCCACTGTTTGGTATGTTGTATTAAAAATGTTAAATTGCATAATTTTTAAGAAGAAGGTATAAGTTATCCCGGCACTAATTACCCTACCCTCTACAAGGTATAAGTTATTACGGTACTAATTTTAATCCCGGGATAACTTATATCAGGTTTGCTAACCAAACAAAGTATTAAGGCGGTATTAATTTTTTATACTAGCACTATACCTTCTTATAACTCATACCAAACGACCCCTAAAGCTACAAATTCTCGACTACCGAGGGTGTTTTATTTTAGAACGATGGAGACAATGCGGCGGGGCCAAGATCGTCCCCCGTCAAAGCTAGGGGCGCAAGGGTTCATGCGAATTTCCTTTGCCACGGAATTACATTGTATATATAAGATTAAAATTATTTTTATGTATATATAACAGATATTGAATTCTTTGAGTTTGACTTCTTCGTGTATTTATTTCTATATTTTGCATCCTATTAGTAAAAATCATGGTTCTGTCGCTGTCCCTTCTCACAAATCCTTTTTCTTTATAATTTCGAAGGTTTCTACATACTTGTAGGTATTGGAAAATCGAATAATTTATTTTTGTAACAGACGATTGAAGAAATGTGTGCTATTAACTTATATGATCTAAAAGTTTATAAGGCTTTATTTTACTTAATTATGTTTTCGAAATATCCCCTCATGTTCGAACTTGACTTTTTCCGGAAAATATCTATTCGTCTAACACTACCCAAAGATACTACTTCTAATATGGTATGATATCATCACCGCGCTTTGGATCAAACTCGCACAATTTTTTCGAAAGACCTCACACCATTAAGAGTATCCAACTCCTTATAATTGTTTATTTTTCTAGTTTTACTTTCCATGTGGGGATATTATCACACATACCCAATAATTTAGTTTTGAAAAAATAAAACTGTATAGGTGTTCTCAAAATAATAGCCGATTTTTTTTTTTTTTTTGTATATATAGATATATTATGTATGTTAGATACATTAATTATACAAATTTTATACTCTTTTTTGGCTACCGAATGTAAATAGTATCTTGTGCGAGCTAAAAGTGATAATACCCCATATTTTTCCCCTTGAACTAAGTTTCACATGACCTATCACATTTCATATGCGTCTTCAAAGCTACGAGTAAAGGCCGTAAACCAGCCCGTAGACGGGCAAAAGCAATAAGTCGGACCCCACACCACACTTCACCGTCTCTATGCTCGTCTTGCCAAATTATTTTTTTTATATCAAATGTTGAGTTAAAACGCCCCAAAGATACTCCTAACATGGTGTGATATTATCCCGTTTTGGGCCAAACCCGCACGGTTTTTCCTAAAAAGCCTTACACCATTAAGAGTATTCAACTCCTTATAAATACTTATTTTTCTTTTCTACTTTCCACGTGAGACTTTATTCACATCACACCCAGGGGTGGATTTATAAAATAATTTATATGGGACACGTGAGCTCATGATCTTTCCGCCAAATTAGGCATATAATGTATGTCTTTTTTAGAATTAGTCTATTTATTTTTTGTCACTCATGCTCTACAAAGAATGAATGGCGCATTTTGTTAAATATTGAGTTTTTTACCTAGAAGAACAAAGTTCAATTATCACTTAATACATGTTTTTCTATTTTTACCGGCGCACCCCTATTTTAAAAATTTTAGATCTGCCTTGCACACAACCAACAATGTCCTTGTTGATTTTTCTTATGGAAAAAGTAAGTGAAATTCTTTTATAATTAGATGGACGTGGAAATTCAACAAGGATATTTTTTGTCCAAGGAAAATATCCATGTTGATTTTTCTAATGGACCAAGTAAAAATTCTTTTTGATAACTAGATGGCGGTGGAAGTTCAACAAGGATATCTTCCTTCTCAGATGCAATATTTATGTACGTGACTATAAGATCTAATTTCTGGAAGATGGACAAAAACCAACGGGACTAGAAGATTTCATTTGACAAAATTTAGCTGACGAAATAAACTATTAACTTTAGTCACATTTTCTGCTTTCAAGACTGTCAACATATATATTCTCACACCAAAATCATCCGATCCTTCAAATCAACTGATAATTTTTCTGCAAAGAATCATGTACCGCTATTTGGTCAATATTTCTAGATCCATTATTGTGTAATATGGGCCCTTTCTCTGATATTTTTACCACCCCCTAAAAGTCATCCTATGATAATCTGAAAAGATTAATTAGTGGTGGGATTGGGAATAATTCCTTTATAGGTTAGAGTGCTAGTTTCATACCCCACCAAATAACTTGACAAGTATATGAAAAGTATGTTAAGCATACATATACACAAAATTTCTTTGGACTAGGCCTTTCTCTGAGCCAATTTTGCTTCAAGAAAACAAACATCATTGAACTTTAGTTTTTTTTTTATCTTACTTTTAATACCTTGCAATTACGCATAAATTGTAAGCAAAAAGTTATATTGCAGGACCTTGATTTCGTCATTCCAATGTAACTCTAAGAAGATTTTCTTTTCGAAAATTTGGTAGATTTAGTATTTCAAGATTAAGGTAATCAGCATAATCTAAGATTTACAAAGAAATCAAAGAGTTGAATAAATTAACCAGCCAATGACAATGCAACTTGCAGTTTCTTTGAAGGGCATCAAGGAATCACATTGTCTGCCAATTACATCAAACACCTCTCAGTGAAGTGACAGCACTAGCAATCAATTTAATAGATACATACATATATATATAACTTCATCAATAAAAACGTTTTAAAAGGCTATCAAAGTAATATATAATTCACCGATAAAAACACTTTTAAAACGGCTTAATTCAATTTGCATGAGCTCAGTGTATATGAGAACCCTCACCGGAAGAAGTATTTGTAAACAGAATACTTCGTGTATAAAACCAACATTTCAATCTCAGGCAGTAAAGTTGCAAAAGTTTAAAAGCTAAAAAGCAAATTAAAACAAGAAAAAGCAGATCTACGAAAAAATGCTCAATCTCCCATATCAAAGAGTTACGTTTAATTACCTCTTAGTAGACCCATCCAGCAAAAATCTGTATTAATTAAGTCTTAATTTGAACACTGAATGAGTAAAGCAAAAGAAAGTATTTACTCGTAACTAAGTTTATCAACTTGGAGATCAATCCTATATGCTAGCTGATTATATATGGGAAATGATCAGCAGGGATCTGATGTATATGATGCAATTAACACGGTAAAATATTAGAAGAAATCTAAGTAATGACGATTGCTAAATATTCCATAATATCATGATTAAATTTATTCCGAAGTATTGATCCTCTAGTCACGTTGCTGCCAAAGTACATTTACTCCGACTACAAGTTTTCGGTAAAAGATTTATGCTTCCTCTACCTGTCTACCAGTTCCAACAACTACTCCTACTAATAGTGCCAAAATCGTACATTTGCAAATTGGCAGAATAGCCTCATAAACACTTGTACTTGTTCGCGTTTATCATCCCGGTCCTTGTACTCAACAAAGTTTCATCCAGACACTTATAGTTATTCAAAATCAATATTCTAAGCCCCTCTTCCGCATGTGTTCTTCAAACGCCCTGTGGATGCCACATCAGTATCCACATCAGATTTTCTTTATTATTTAATTTATTTTTTAATATTATTTTTAAAAAAAATTTCTTTTCCATTCCACCTTCACGGTCCTCCACACTCACCATCTTTATTCTTTCACAATTCACCATACATTTATCACCATCTTTAAAATAGTCCACTGAGTAACATTACAATGTTATGATACAAACAATGAGAGAGAATTTATGTAACTCTTATTTTCCATCAGTAATCACTTTTTTCTGTTCCTTTTTCTTTTTCTTTTTCAACTTACTCTTAAAAATCGTCGTACCAACGCCTGCAACTCCTCTCCGATCACCCTTCAACTAAAACGCTTTTTCACATCCAATACTTCACTATAGCACCACTAATCAACTACAAAAAAGAATCGATCTGAAATGATCCTAAAAACCATCCGAAATTCCTTGCAAAACTCGTCTTCAGAAGCTTTGGGTTGGGGGGGGGGGGGGGAGAAAATGGGGGATTTAGAAAAGAACTTTCTCCCCAATTTGGGAACATTGGGATCTGGGCCGAAAATGGGGGATTTAGAAAATAATTTTCTTCATAAATTATTACCAGTTTGAAAAAAAAATTTAATCTGGGGCGACGAAGAACATTTGTGGCGGCTGTATTGTAGTTGGGTTTTGGGTTAAAATGAGGGAGAGGTAAGAAGAAGGGAGGAGGAGAGAGAAGAAGGGAGGAGGGGGAGATGCAAAAACGTAAAGAGAAAGTACTTTTCTTTGCATTTAACTTTTTGTCTTTTTCCTTTTTTTAAATCATTTTAATTATTTTTTGGTTTAAATAATTATACTTACGCTCCGTATATGCGTGAAATGCACGTATTTTGGTCAGCTCACCTGTTAAGTTGCCACATAGATCCGGTCAACGGTCAGAGGGGTTTAGAATATTGATTTTGAATAACTATAAGTGTCTGGATGAAACTTTGTTGAGTACAAGGACCGGGATGACAAACACGAATACAAGTGTTTATGAGGCTATTGTGCCTTGCAAATTAATCTATGCTTTAAATCCATAATGACAGGCAGAACTACACAAAGAAATAGGTAGTAGTACAATTTATGATTCATTAACAAACCCTTCTTAGTGACATAACAATAGGTAATAATTAAATATCATAACGAAATAGTACTAGAATACAAGACCCTCAAACAACTAAATTTAAAGTTGCATATTAGCTAGTAATTCGAGAGATAGCAATGTTTTACGTTAAGCTTGATCACCTGATGATGGCGGTGGCGGATTAGGTAACTGTTGCGGCGGCGGAGGGCGTTTCCTTTTCTTCTTCTCGTAGCTAACTCCTCTAGCTTTTGACTGCAAATCACGAACTTCACGAAGGTAAAGTCTCACAGCACGAGCCCCAAAAGGGTTTGTTTCAGGTTTTCCTCCATTTTCTTCATAAGCAGCTCTAAGACGTCCAATAAGAGCATCAAGACTGCCCCAAGCTTGCCTAAGTGGACAGGGACATGGTGCTGGAGGATTCGGGTGACCGTAAAACGGACAAATTGGGGTGTGAATTTTGGTCTTACCAAATTGATCAAGGTAACGAAGGAATTCGAGCACGTGAGCGCCGCTGCAGCGGGAGAGGGCAAGTGGAGGCCTGTGGTTTTTAAGGTACTGGCCGAAAGTGTTCCAGTCTCTACGCTTTTGGTTCTCGTATCGGCTTGAGGTCGATGACGATGTTGAAGAAGATGACGTAATAGTAATATTACTGTTCAGGTGGCTGCTGCTGTTATTATTAGAATCCATGAATATTTTCAGCTCAATTTTCTTCTCTCAAAGGGATCTACTGATTCTCTTCTGCTTAATTCTTTTGATCAATATTTCACTTCTTGATTTTGTGACTGTTCACCTTCTTCTAATTCCCTCCCTTTACTTTTTTTTTTTGGGGCAACCCTTGATTTTTTAGGGTTTAATAAGAGAAAGGAGATTTCCCAAATGAGGCTGTTCCGAGAAAAAGAACATATGGCATGATATAAAAGGGGGAAAGATGTGAGGTTTTTGATTGAAATATCAGAAGATTACCATATTTGTAAATTACAAGAAAGAGAGTAGAGAAAGAAAGGTGTACTGATGATGCAAAAGAAGGAAGAGTTTGATTATGGGGTTGAAATTGAATGATGAAGCGATTGATGGGAGAGTGAGTGAAAGGACTCTTTTTCTCTATCTTTTCTTTCGGTTCGTTTCTGTTCTTTGGTCTTCCTTGGAGTTTCTTTGTTTGAGCAATAGTAGAAAATCTTGGAACACTGTCCTGTTGGTTGATTTAGTAGCTTTGTATTCTGAAAATGATGAAAGATTGGTTTTTTCCTCAAAATAGGGGAAGCAAACTAACCACTTTATCTATTTCTTTCACAGTGGTTGGATAGAAGAGTTGAGAGAGCAGAAAAAGGGAGGGGAAACACTGTGTAGGGTTTTTGAGGAAATTAATCAAATGGGGAAGGGTGATAGACAGCAGGTTAAGATAGAGACAGTAAAAAAGTTGAAAACATGGGGGCCATATGCAAACAGTTTTCTATTATTCACCCACTCTGCTAGCTTGAATGACAGCTCTATGTCCAGTTTTGACTGACCAACACCCCCCCTTGTGTCATAGATAATTACTTCATGACTGAATCTTTTTCTTTTACCGTGTTCATTTATGATTATATCCTTTTTTTAAGCAGTCCAATATACAGATATTAATTCGAATTTGTCCTATGTAAAAATTGTTAAGCATTATAGTATATTTTAATTCCTAAAATCCGAACTCAAGATCCTGATTAAAGATAGGGCTAAGATTTGTTACACAACTAGGTTTGGTTTCGAAGAAACACAGTGGTAACTGGTATGAATTTATCTGCTACTTAGTATCTAGTAGTAGCTTCTTGGTCGCTTTATTCTGGTCTACCTTTCTTATTTTCCTTACAGATATTGTAATTTTGTACGGGTAAAATCGGGGGTTACGTTTACTCCGATTTCCCGGTGAGAAAACGGAGGAAGGGCACGGACGCACGAGACTGTAATCGAGGTTATGGACCCTTTGTATCGAGATCCAGAGAGAATGAATGATGTGCCTGTTGTCGGGTATGGTAAAACGACGCACCCCGGGCCAAGAATGACTTCTTAGACTTCGGAACGCACTGTAAACGATTACACATGATGGACAGAGGGCCGTGATATTCGTACCCAACCGGATATCACGGCGCAGATCTCGCTCGATGTCGGTTATGGATCACTAATTACTGGGAATGGAAGAATTTTACCTTTTTTTAGACTTATACTAGGGATGAAACTGTCCTACTATATAAAGGATAAGTTTTTCTCTTGTAAGTCACATTGTAACACGCGAATCAAAGCAATACAAGTTTATTTTCTGCCTTTTAGCTATTGTTAAAGATTTGCTCATTTGTTCTGTTCTTCATTCACGAACGGGCTTGAACAGAGGGCCCGACCAAGGATGAAGTCATTTATCAGTCTAAATCCAGACTTGATCATAGTATTGCAACTTTGTTGAACTTTTATTTCATTTCTAACCCATTTGTTTGATATTCTTAATTATTCGTGTTAGATTAAATCACATATCCTTAAAACCGCATACAAATTTAACTGTTACCCTATTTAGGGTAAACAGTTTGGCGCCCACCGTGGGGCTAAGGATAATAATGGTAATTTTTGATACGAATCTCTATAACACACCCTATTTTACGCTTGTTCTTAGAAGTCATGCTTTTAGGTCAGCCCAAAAATGTCAAACTCTAAGTCTGCTCACTTGAACGTCGAAGCTGAGTCTGGCCATCACGACGAAAATAATAATTTGGTTCCCGGCCGATGCCAGCTTCGCTTTTGCATCTTCTTTCTCCGAAGCCAGCAGGCCCATCCTGCCCTTCCACACCTCGATCGTGGCCTTGACCTCATCCATCTCAGCCCGAAGCTGGTCGATCAGGTCTATCTTATCTTGGACCTACGAAGTTGTGTTGTTAGTCACCATGACTAGCTTCTCATTTTCAGCCTCAAAGATCCTTACCTTCTCGACCAGGTCATCATGCTCCAGCTTCAAGGACGAAGCCTCCTTTTGAGCCTTTTCTAGCCCAGCTTGTAGAATCGGGAGGTCCTTAAGGGCCTCGTCTTGTTGCTCACTAAGAGCCCTGTACATCTCCTTCTTCCGGACTTGCTCTTTGAGCTCGAACTCGAGCTGGGTAATCTCCAAGCGGGACCGAAGAAAGCTTTCATGATGAAGCACTGAAGCCTGAAAAACAATGAAGTTATTAAAACAAGTCTAAAACTAAACAAGGTTCACAAAGGGGTACAAAGGGTGAACGCCTTACCCGGTTCAGCGCCTCTTGCGCTTCGTTAAAGACGCTCGACGTTCCCACTTCGTTCATCTTCACCTGACCCTCCTCGGTCACCAGGCATCGTAGGTAGCTAGATACGCCCACCGAAGCGGACAGGACCCGGGCGTCCGCCAAGATTGTGAGAACGACCATTCTCTTGTGCTCGGGGTCCATGCTCGGAGGAGGGAACTACTTCACTGGTTTTGGGCCGAACTCGGACCGCCTACTCCCGACATGGCACATCCTTTTTCGGGACCTCCAAGTGATCAAGCCCTGAAAAGTCCCCCAGTGCGGCCATATCCATGCCATCGAAGGACGTGTTGAGGGCATCATCCGGGCCCTACGCCATCTCGCTCGACTTCTCTTTTCCTGGTTGAGCCTCCTCGAGCATGGACTCGGTATAGGAGGGTGTCTCCACGATGTCAATGACACCGGTTGCCTCCTTCGGGACAAGAGAAACTTCTCGGGAGGCCGCGGCCTCCATCTCTCCCTCTGGTGATAGGTTTAAAGTTAAGTTTCAATGATGACAATATTATCTTATGTTATATTTACAGGACAAACAAAAAGGAAAGAATGAAGATGCTCAGCAAGATTGCTAATGGATTCAAAATGGCAAGTAAGGAAAGAATGAAGATGTTGTTACTGCATTAATGATCAATCAAAGGAAGCAGATTGACTCGTCCTCAATTAAGGGAACTCAGATTGCCAATCATGGATTCTCTAATTAAGAAGATCGCGCTCGTGAATTAAGCTGTCCAGGCGTAAACATCTCCTTGAATCAACCTGTGACAAGGAAGGTCACATTCGAATCTGGGCTCGTCAAAGAGCAAGATTCGAAGAGGCACCCCTTAGGTCAAATCCCTTAATTAAAGATCTTGTGCCTCTGATTTCGCAAAAGACTCAACGGGTCTTTTCTCTCCTATAAGAAGGCTAATCCCTCAAGAAGAATATTACACAACTACACACATTGTACTCTAAGTCTATCTACTTCTTAGTTCATACACTGTAATCCTTAGTTATCAGTGTCTCAAAAGATAGGGGGATTTAGAACACAAAAGAGAGTTGTGTCAACTATTCTGAACTTAAGTGTTGATATTGTTCGTTGGTGGTGAAGGCGTTAAAACCATCTGTGTTGTAAATTATTCAAAGATCTTAAGGGAATCCTTGTGACCCAAGGGAACTGGTTGTAAGTACCACAACGGTACCGAACCAGTATAAATCTCTGTGTGTTAATTACTTTTCTTTACTGCTTACTTTCATTCCGAGCCGTGGTCAGTCAACTAATACTTGTGTTAGTCGACTAAATTTTAAATAGTCAACAATTCACCCCCCCCCCCCTCTTGTACTTTCAATTGGTATCAGAGCAAGGCTCACAATCTTTGCTTAACCGCTAGTGAGGAAAAGATCATGGGATCCAATACTGTTCTCGATGCTCTCTTTCAAGAAGGAACCTCTCAAGTTCGACCTCCTTACTTCAATCTCCAGCATTTCTCTAACTGGAAGTTCGCATGGAAACATACACCATGTCATATGACATCAAGGTATGGCGTGTGATCAAAAAGGGAAACCTTCCAATTCCTCCCAAGAAGGATGCAAATGGTCAGGTCATCACATCCATTGATCCTCTGGATTTGGAAGATTACACTGATGAACAAGTTGCTGTTATCACTGTTAATGAAAAAGCAAAAAATCTACTGTACAATTCTATCACTTGAGAAGAATATGAAAAGATATCTAGTTGTGAGACTGCAAAAAAATGTGGGATAAACTGGAAGTCACTTACGAAGGAACCAACAAAGTGAAAGAGACCAGAATAAACCTCCTGGTTCGGGACTATGAGTTATTTCAAATGAAGGATGGTGAATCTGTAGAAGAAATGTTTTCTAGGTTCAGCAAAATTCTTGGAGATCTCAAAATAATTTGGAAGACCTATTAAAAGTGGCGAACAGATTAGAAAGATCCTCAGAAGCTTGCCTACAATTTGGCAACCAAAGGTCATTGCTTTGGAATGTCAAGATCTGGATAAAATTTCCTATGATGAGCTCAGAAGTGATCTCATCGCTTTTGAGAAAACTCATCTTGACAGAAAATTCAAGAGAAAAAAAAAAGCTGTTGCTTTCAAAGCAACTGTGGCTGGACCAGAAATTGATGATGAAGAAGAAGGAGGAGAACACGATGAAAACATTGCAATGCTCACTCAAGTCGTGACCAGCATGATGAGAAGAAACAGAAACAACAGAAGAGGTAAGTCCAACTTCAGAAAATGAAGGGTGAGCGATGAAGCTGATAAAAATGATGGAAGATGTTACGAATGTGGAAAGTTCGGTCATATTCAAGCTGAATGTCCGGAATTAAAGAAGAAGCTTAGCAGAAACATGCAAAAGAAGAAAGCTTTTGGAGCATGGAGTGATGAGGAAGAATCTGATCACGAGGAAATTGCTAACATATGCTTCATGGATCTAAGTGACAATGAAGAATAAGGGGAACTTGGGCTAATGACAGACAACAACGATGAAGAAGACGACTCAAGAGAACCTCGTTTAATGTCAGATGCAGGAACTAGTCAGGTACGTACTCCTTTATACCCTAATTATTATGAACTTCAAGAATTCGTTGATATTGCCCTTGCAGATATAGAAAGAGTACTAAATGAGCTCAGAAAAGTCAAGAGAGAAAAAGAGAGAGAGAAGAAGGACTGGGCTCTAAAACTAGAAGTATGCGAAATTGAACGCGATATACTTCAAGAGGAAGTAAATGAACTCAAGCTTCAATTGAATGGATTGCAAAGGACCTCAAATCACAGTCCAGTCAAATCACAACAGACTGTTCGTCACAAAAAGACAATGGCTTGTTCCTTTTGTGGAAAAAATGGCCATAGCACTAATAATTGCAGGAACAGAATTAGAGCTGAAAACTCTAACAACTCATCTTGCTTCTACTGTGGCAAAAGCGGTCATACCTCAAATCATTGCAGGTTCAAAAACAACAGAAGATGGGTCTGGAGACCAAAATCTTCAAATCAAACTAACACTCAAAAGTTTAACCATTCAGGACCTAAGCAGGCTTGGGTACCTAAAAATGAGTAATCTTGTTTTGTAGGAACACCGCAAGAAGAATAGAAAAGGGAAATGGTATCTCGATAGCGCGTGTTCCAGACATATGACC